GCCCCCCGGGGAGACCCAGCCTGCTCGGCTCCGGGGTTCGGAGGCATCCTGGGCTGAAGGAAGGCGGCGGCGGCGGCGGCGGCCCGAAGAAGCCGGCAGACTCTGCCCTTCGCGAATCTTTTTGCGGTCTGGGCTTGCTGTACATAACTCAATAGCCGGAAGCCCTTACCCCAAAAAGCATTCGCGGAGGGCGCACTCGTCGAGAAGCCTGCGAGCGATCGCCGAAGCCCACACACCTTCCCGAAGCGGCGCGGCCGGAGCCTTCCCCAGCCCCGTCCCCGCGTTCCGGGGAAGGGTTCATCCTTTCCCTCGCGTCCTCCCAGCGCTCGCCGAGGCTTTGGTCACCCGCCTGTCCTTCGTGGGGGCCCCCCGCCCCCAACTTCTTAGTGGACTTTGTATCACAGGGGGAAATTGGAGCAGGCGGTGTGCGTTGTGTGTTCGGAGAAGTGGGAAGCAGCTAAAATACAATAAAAGTTTACAGAAGTTGTGTCTCCCCCCCCACCCCCGCCCACACCCCGAATAACCCCATTCACTGGTCTTAGAGCCCAGGCAGTACCTGGGATAGGCATCAGTTAAGGACATTTTCTGGTCACGTCGGACCCTAGAGCTCCAACCGCACTGTGGGGGTGGGGAAACCCCTGAGGGAGGGGCAGGAGGCCTCGGGCATCCTCTGTCCTAGCCGGGGACCCCAAGGTGAGGCGAGCCGCGGTGCATTGGTGGCTCTGAAAAGAGGGGAAACCCAGGCAGGCATCGCCCGATCCCCGGAGTTCCTCCTTCCCCGGGCACCTGCTTCCAACCTAATTTAGGGCGTTTTGCAGCATCGGGTTCCCCCCACCCCATCTTGTCTTTTTCAAAACTGAGTAGCACCCAAGGGGGTAAAACAGTAAAAAAAAAAAAAACTGCCCCCCCCCACACACACAGAGAAGGAGCTTTTAGAGACGAGGTGGCACCCGACTCTGCAGCCTAGAGCAGCAGCAGCAGCCCCGTCCTGGCCTCCCGAGGCAGCCCGTCCTGGTCAGGGAGACAGAACTGCAGGATTGGGGACCGTCTGTGGTCCCCCTCCTCCCCCTCCACTCCTTGCAGTCGTGACCACTTTGGTTACAAGTGGTGCAATCAGGCCTTCGCCATGATCTGCGCCCCACGCCCTTCGCCTGAGGGACTGCCAGACGTCCTTAGGGACTGGGCCAGAAGGACACACGGACACACGCAGGCGTCCAGAGGGATGGTCAAGGGTAGAGGATGTGTCTAGGGATAGGAGAAGCCAAGACCCGAGGGCTGGAAGGCTACTCGTTTTCGGGGAGGGCCTGAATTCCCCCGCACCCCAACCACCACCACCACCATCCTTCCGCTCCCGGGTCGCTGGGCACCCAGACCCTCCCCTCCCCGAGTGGAGGAAGGAGCAGGGAGAGGGGACTGCTGGCAGAGTCAGTCTTTCCAGCTCAGCCTTCGAGAAAGCACCTAAGACGAGGACGCCAAGCTCTCGGGGTAAATCCGAGTCCCTCTCCGCAGATAAAGGAGATTTTTCCTCCCCGATGGCGTGTGCTGAGAGAGTAAAAGGGTCTCTCCGATGCCCAAAGGAGATGGAGCAAAAGCAAAAGCCCCGGGTGGGTTTCCTCCCTGCCTCTCGCGTGGGGCCGTCTGTGGAGCGACAGCCTCGCCGAGGGACAGGCAGGAGAGCCACGTTGGGTTAAAAATAGCTTCACCCTGGGTCCCTTCGGCTCTGCTTTTGTCTTTTGCTTCTTACTCCTCCCCCCACCCCCCACCTCGCCCTGGCCAGGACGCCCTCCTCGCCTCTCCCCCAAAGCCTCGATCTCCACCAGATTTGGGAGAGAGGTGACCTAAGAGAAGTGAACTTGCACCGAAGGGGTTGAGCCACCCCAGCCCAGGCTATGGGGGCTCCGGTGCCGGGGGTCCCCTCACTGTTCCCACGGAGGC